TTTGCTTAGAATCTCTGACTTCCAGTCAAGATGGAGGTGTAGGTAGATACACTCTACCTCCTTGCACAACCAAAAGAAGGACAACAAATTTAAAAATAGAAAATAACTGCCCTGGCTGGTGTGGCTCAGTGGATTGAGTGCTGGCCTGCAACCCAAAAGGTCACTGGTTCAATTTTCAGTCAGGGCACCTGCCTGGGTTTCAGGCCAAGTCTCTGACTGGGGGTGTGCAAGAGGCAACAGATCTATGTATCTCTTGCACATTGATGGTTTTCTTCCTCTCTTTCTCGCTCTCTTTCCCTCTCTCTGAAAATAAATAAATACATCTTTAAAAAATGAAAATAAAAAGAGAAAATAACCAGAACTACCATAAAACCAAACTCTATGGAAGTCTGCCAATCAAGGAATTAAAAAATAAATGTTCATCCAGATCTGTAGGAGAGGTGGAGACAGGCAGAAGGGGTGGAGAGGACCTGAGGCAAGGTGGCAGCTGGAGGAACCGGGGCAGGCAGGCTGGTGGATGGTAGACTTGGAGGTCCCACATTCGCATGCAGATAAACTGTGAGGAACAAATGGGGAGTGAGATACACTGCACAACCCAGGGTTCCAGTGCAGGGAAATAAAGCCACAAAACCTCTGACTGAAAAAAAAAAAACTTGTGGAGATTGCAGCAGCAGGAAAAACTGTCAGCTTCACAGGAGAGTTTGTTGGAGAGACCCACAGGGTCCTAGAATGTACATAAACCCAGCCACCTGGGAATCAGCACCATAAGGGCCCAATTTGCTTGTGAGTAGCAGAGGAAGTGACTAAAACACAGCCAAGAGCTGAACAAGTGGTATTGTTCTTTTTCTGACCCCTCACCCACATACAGCGTCACAACACAATGATGCTTGGGTGAATACCCAAGGCTGGCCCCTTACTATGTAACAGGTGCACCAAGACAAAAAAAATTGACCAAATGAAGGAACAGATTAAAGCTCCAGAAAATAATATAACTAAGCAATAAAGAGATAGTAAACCTATAAGATGTAGAGTTCAAAACACTGGTAATCAGGATGCTCACAGAAATGGTTGATTATAGTCACAAAATAGAGGAAAAAGTGAAGGCTATGAAAAGTGAAATAAAGGAAAATGTACAGGAAACCAACAGTGATGGGAAGGAAACCAGGACTCAAATCAATGGTTTGGAGCAGAAGGAAGAAAGAAACATTCAACCAGAACAGAATAAAGAAACAAGAATTCAAAAAAACAAGGAGAGTCTTAGGAACCTTCGGGACAACATTAAATATTCCAACATCCAAATCATAGGGGTGCCAGAAGGAGAAGAGGAAGAGCAAGAAATAGAAAACTTATTTGATAATATAATGAAGGAGAACTTCCCTAATCTGGCAAAAGAAATAGACTTTCAGGAAGTCCAAGAAGCTCAGAGAGTTCTAAAGAAGTTGGATCCCAGGAAACACACACCAAGGCACATCATAATTACATTACCCAAGATTAAAGAGAAGAAGACAATTTTAAAAGCAGCGAGACGAAAGGAAAGTTATCTACAAAGGAGTTCCCATAAGGCTATCAGCTGATTTCTCAAAAAAACTTACAGACAAGAAGAGAATGGAAAGAGGTATTCGAAGTCATGAAAGGCAAGGACCTGCATCCAAGATGACTCAATCCAGCAAAGCTATTATTTATTTATTTACTTACTTACTTATATTACATACATTTGAATTTTATTGTTGTTCAAATACAGTTTTTCCCCCATCTCTCCCCACTACCCCTGCCATCCCCATCTTCCTTCACTGTTTCTATCCCTGCCTTGTTTTTGTCCATGTGTCCTTTATAGATGTTTCTGTAAACCATCCCCCTCACTGCCGCATTATCCCTCTGGTTACTGTCAGTTTCTTCTTAATTTCAATGTCTTCAGTTATATTTTGCTTGTTTGTTTGTTTTTTGATTAGGTTCCAGTTAAAGGTGAGATGATATGGTATTTGTCCATCACCACCCTACTTATTTCACTTAGCATAATGCTCTCCAGTTCCATCCATGCTGTCTCAAAGGATAGGAGTTCCTTCTTTCTTTCTGCTGGGTGGAATTCTATTGTGTAAACATACCATAGTTTTTTGACCCATTCATTTACTAATGGGCACTTAGGTTGCTTCCAGCAATTGGCTATTGTGAATTGTGCTGCTATGAACATTGGGGTGCATAGGTTCTTTTGGATTGGCGTTTCAGGGTTCTTAGGATGTAATCCCAGCAGTGGAAGTGCCAGGTCAAAAGGCAGTTCCATTTTTAGTTTTCTGAGGAAATTCCATACTGTTTTCCATACTGGTTGTACCAGTCTGAAATTCCACCAACAATGCACTAGGGTTGTCTTTTCTCCATAACCTCTCCAATACTTGTTTGTTTGTTGCTTTGTTTATGGTGGCCATATTCACCGGTGTGAAGTAGTACCTCATTGTGGTTTTAATTTGCATCTCTCTGATGACTAACAATACTGAGAATCTTTTCATATGTTTCTGGGCCCTCTGTATGTCCTCCTTGAAGAATTGTCTGTTCAAGACCTTTGCCCACTTTTTAATTGGGTTGTTTGTCTTCCTAGAGTGGAGTCATGTGAGTTCTTTATATATTTTGGAGATCGAACCCTTGTCTGAGGTAACATTGGCAAATATGTTTTTCCATATAGTTGGTCTTTTCATTTTAGTGCTGTTTTCTTTAGCCATGCAGAGCTTTTTTATTTGATGAGATCCCATTTGTCTATTCTTTCCTTTATGTCCTTTGCTTCAGTGGACATATCGGTGAAAACATTACTGCATGGGATATCTGAAAGTTTCCTGCCTATGTTCTCCTGAAGTACTTTTATAGTGTCATGACTTACTTACATTTAAATCTTTTATCTACCTCAAATTTATTTTTGTGTATGGTATAAGTTGGTGATTAAGTTTCATTTTGTTTTTGTATGTAGCTGTCCAGCTCTCCCAATACAATTTGTTGAAGAGGCTATTTTTGCTCCATTTTACACTGCTTCCCCCTTTGCCAAATATTAATTGACCACAGAATCTTGAGTTTATTGCTCTCTGTTCTGTTCCATTGGTCCATGTGTCTGTTCTTATGTCAGTACCAGGCTGTTTTGATTACAGTGGCCTTGTAATACAGTTTGGTATTGGTTATTGTGATTCCTCCTACTTTGTTTTTCTTTCTCAAAACTGCTGCAGCTATTCAGGGTCATTTATGGTTCCATATAAATGTTTAAAGTGTTTGTTCTATATCTGTGAAATATGCCATTGGTACTTTAATAGGGATTGCATTGAATGTATAAATGCTTTGGATAGTATGGACATTTTGATGATGTTAATTCTTCCGATCCATGAACATGGTATATCCTTTTATTTGTTTGTGCCTTTTTAAATTTATTTTTTCATCATTGTGTAGTTTACTGAGTACAGGTCTTTTACCTCCTTGGTTAGATTTATTCCTAGGTATTTTGTTTTTCTTGTTGCTATATCAAATGGGATTTTTTTCCTGATTTCTGTTTCTGATATTTAATTGTTGGTATACAAAAATGGCTTTGATTTTGATTATTGACTTTGTATCCTGCTTATTTGCCAAATTCATTTATTAGGTCAAGCAGTTTTTTGGTGGAGTTTATAGGATTTTTCTATGTATACTATCATATCATCTATAAACAATGACAATTTTGTTTCCTCCTTTCCAATTTTGATGCCTTTTCTTTCCTTTTTTTTAGTTTTTTATTATTATTTTGGAAGGAGAGAGGGAGAGAAATATCAATGTATGGTTGCCTCTTGTGTGTCCCCTGCTGGGAACTGGCCTACAACCCAGGCATGTGCCCTGACTGGGAATCGAACCATGGTTGCTTGGTTCTCGGGCCCGTGCTCAATCCACTGAGCCACATCAGCCAGGGCTCTTTTCTTTTCTAATTGCTGTGGCTATAAGTTGTGATACTATGTTAAATAGAAGTGGTGAAAATGGGAAATCTTGTCTTGTTCCTGATCTTAGTGGGAAAGTTTTTAGTTTTTGCCCATTGAGTATAATTTTGGCTGTAGGTCTTTTGTATATGGCCTTTATTAGGTTTAGGAATGCTCCCTCTATTCCCACTTCAGAAAAGGCATTATTCAGAATGGAAAGATAGATAAAGTGCTTCCCAGGTAAGTTCAAGTTAAAGGAGTTCATCATCACCAAGCTCTTATTATATGAAATGTTAAAGGGACTTATTTAAGAAAAAGAAGATAAAAATACAAACAGTAAAATTAGAATAAACTCAGAACTGTCAACAACTGAACCTAAAAAAACAAAAACAGAACAAAAAACAAACTAAGCAAGTAACTAGAACAGGAACAAATTCACAGAAAAAGAGATCACATGGAGGGTTATCAGTAGGGAAGGAGAGGAGGGAATGGGGGGAAAGGTACAGGGAATAAATAGCATAAATGGTAGGTAGAAAATAGACAGTGGGAGGTTAAGAATAGTGTGGGAAATGAAGAAACCAAAGAACTTGTGTGTATGAACCACAGACATTAACTTAGGTGGGGGAATGATGGTGGGAGAGGGTGTGCAGGGCAGAGGAGAATAAAGGGGAGAAAAAAGTGGGACAGCTGTAATAATGCTATCAATAAAATACATTTTAAAAAGTTTTGCCATTTAGTGGTGAGCTATTGACAATAAATTATTAAGCTACTTATTTAACTTATTAAATAAGCTACTTATTTAAAATATATGTTCTTTTTACATGCACATCTATCCTGTTAGAAAACCAAATGGTAAGGATGCATAATGAAGAAGGAAAATCCTATGATTGGTTAACTTTATTTTTGTGCTCCTCCTTTTTAACTGCTAAAATAATATGCCAACAAAAGATATCTTACTAAATGTCCTTTAGGAAAAATATTACTTTCCAAATATTCACACCTACTCTAAAGATATAAAGTTACCAGATTACTTAACACTAATAGTCTTTGCTTTACCCTTGACGTTCAGGTATTTTTAAAAACCCAAAGTTAGCCTGGTAAAGTCCCATTTTATTTTTATTGCTCTTACTTTTTAATAGCAGCCAATCTTGGAGAACAAAGGTCACATAGAACAAAATGAGTCACTACCCAAACTATGAGAATGCTACTATGAATAATTATTGTACATAAATTAGACCATACTGTTTCAAATATAGCCCATCCCCTTTATTTCTGCAATGTTTACTACAATAATGAACAATTTGGCTAATCTGCCTGTAAACATTGATTTTGTTTTTCCTCCAATATTTTGTACTAATAAGAATTTCCCTTTAAAACATAGTTGGTTCTGCCTCATCAACCTCAGACTTTCATTTTAGAGTGAACCTTCTAATTATAAACCACCCAGTGACAGTCTGGACAAAAATGGCATTCTGGCTAATGCTCACCACAAAAGAATATGGATGCCTGAGTTTATACCAATGTACATCCTTCTCTAAAAAGGGGGGAACATGTAGCAGTTAGTTATGGCATCATTGCAGCAGCTAAAGCATTTGATACAGTCTTACTATTTCAGTATGCAGAGCCAAATGTAGGTGCTAACTATTTAGAGAGGAATGTATCATCTGTTAAAGATAGTCAGATAGTTTTATGAGAATTAATTTTCAGACACAATCAGATGTTGAAAAGTTCTGATGATCGGTGACACCAGTTGGCACTTTCTCAAACATTCTCCTAAAAGAAAAGAAGGAAGTTTGATAACATCAAGATCAGCTTCCCTTTTATAAAGTTTTCTTAAATCATAACTTCTTTTCCATAGGAACAAAAGCAGCATGGCCCTACTTGAAAAGTGGGACAAATACATACCAAGTAGAACGGAAAAGGATTTTGGTGAGTCCATTTCATGAGGTTCTTCTACTGGACTGCAGGGATGTTATGTGGATTTGTTCAGGAATTATTGAAAAAGCAACCAGAAAAATAATGTAGTAGTTTTTTTGGTATTTGGTCTGTGAATTAAGGAAAAGGTAATGTGTTAAAATATTTTTTAAAATGTTATTAACTCTACTCTACTCATGGGAGAAGCAAGCTATATAACTAGCTTATATTTGTTTTTTTCCCCTTTGTTTCCTAAAAAGATTTGCAGCAGCTAAAAGATTGGTAAGTAAGGGCATAGTTACTGTCAAAAGAGTCTCTGCAGTGCTTGGGAATCCATGAAAGGAGGATTTTCCATGCCTTTTCTTTTTGTTAGTATGTGGTTCTAGAATAGTAATTTTTTAAATGGTACAATAGAAAAAACTGGCCTTTGGCTGTCAGAGAGAATGCTTCAAGGGTATATTAGCAAGGAATATAGATCAGTGCCTTCTGCAAACTATATGGCCATTATGAAAGTTCTGCCATCATTCATTCCCTCCACCAGCACGATCTGATTCAACTTTCCTGTGGGTACTGGACCCAGGTGGGTGAGGACAGCACACAAAGCACAGAGAGGAGGGAATCTCTGTTTTCAGCACTGCACACATTTGTGCAGAAATGGATTAGAAATATAAGTGACTAATGCCCAGAAATTTTGTCAATGCACTTAAGGAGTGAATTTTAAGCAGCAAATACAAATAAGTAATCAATTCCCTTCTGACTGGGAACACCATCCATCTGAGAGACCAGAGGATGGATTGTTAATGATGTATATAACTAGGATAAATAAAAGAAGAGGATCTAGGCATGGCGAGGACAAAGAAATTTTTCTTAGGCATAGCAGGCTACAGATTTCACTGAGTAATGTAAAGGAGGATTCGAAAGCACAGCCAGAGCTGAACTACACAAAGAACATTTGCTCCTAACATACAACATACTATTTTTGATTTTATATATCCATTTGTAATTAAATAATCTATTTAGTAAATTATGTACCATTAATTTTATTATTCCTTCACCGCTATTTTAAGGTCCACAGTTAAAGAACTGTTTCTGCAATTGTGAAAGAGGGATCTCTAAATTGGGTAGTATTCTGAAGGATAGGCTACACACCCTAGTGTAGTTAGCATCACTAGATTATCCATCTTTTTAACTGTTAAAGGTCTACTTCTAATTCATAAGAAATCTCTTGAGGTTGTGATTACTCTCCAAACCAGCTCCCAAGGAATGTGAGGACGCTTCCGTCTTATTGTTATACCATCCAGAAGATGAGGTTTCCAGGGCTACAGGGGCAGGAAGAAAAAGTGCTCCTAAGAACCTTGACTGGAAGAGACAAACTTCAGTTCTTCTCAAACCTACTTGTTAGTACTAGTTACATGGCCCCAACCTAACCATACAAGAGGAAAATGTAAGAGGACCACATAATGTTTTATAAATACTATTGACCCTGCCACATCTGATTATTAAAAGTAAGATCCGCGCTAAGAATGGGCTAGACAAGGTAAGTACTCTTTCTTCTAGAAGTCTTTCTCAAACATTAGTGATTATAAAACAATGGGGGAGCTTGTTGAAAGGACAGATTCCCAGGCCCATGTGTCCAGTTTGGTTTAGCAGGGTTGAGGTAGAAGCAGTGCCATAATCAGGCTTATTGTACTACAGTATTGATATGTGTATTACATGGGGAACATGGGCAGAAGATTTTACACTTAATGTAAAAGTTGTCTTTAGGGGATTGGAATGTAAATTAAATAAGTAAGTGAAAATTCAAGAACAAATCATATGAAAAAGTCAGTGTCTTTTCAAGTTACCGCTTCTAATCCACAAGGGAGTTCGTTCTGTCCTACAGCCCTGGGGAGTTAGTTGGACAAATGTCCCAACAGCTCCTGGTAGGTTGAGAGACTATAGGTTGGGAATGCAGTACTGCTGAAACCTCTCTATGGAGAATCATGTTAAATCAGGGCTTTTGTCCAGACTACCTACTTTCTCCTCAAGTTTTCTCCTTTTGCCTATTGCTCTTGTACTTGACTCAGAGCAATAAAGGAAAACATTATGTTTGCTTCTCCTCTGAGGTCTAAAATAGGGTCTTTCCATGATTTCTTTTTCTCTCAGATTCTTACTGAGACTTCATGTTTATCAGTTGTTATTTTTTGGAGAAAAAAATAGAACGAAAAAAAACCCCAGATGATAACATGGCTAATTTTAAGTGTTAGGTATGCACAAAAACGTTTTGAGAATCAGGTTGTGGTATGCATTCTTACTTTACATCTGTCCCTGTTAATGTCTCAATGTGTCCCTTAACATCTCAGGAGCCCATGCTTTGCCGGGCTGTCACTGTTGTTTATTCAGCCTCTGCGCTTCAAAATCTACTGATAGATGACACTTAAGCAGCTTGATGCTTTACTTTCTGAAATCAGAGCCTTGAAGTTTTAATGAGACTTCCTTAAAGTACAGTACAATTGATTTGTTAGAATAGGGGCATATCTCTCAAAGACATCATAAAAGTACCACATTCGTATGTTAATTTTAGTTCAACAAATAGGAAAAATGATTATGAGTAATAGCGTTCAGCTTTCGGATAGTTCTTCTTTCCATGTTCAAAGTGCTTGACAAACATTAATTAAATCACTGGCAGTCAAATTAGATAAATATGTTCTCTGTATGTGTATCGCTATACCTTCCATGCACACAGCCTTCTAAATCACATCACTGCAGATCAAATATTTTTTTGCCATCTGAACTTGGTAGGCAGACACTGATTGCAAGTAGCAGATAATTACTGGAAGGGCTAATCACGAGGAGAGATTATGTAAGCTTTCTTTGTTTTTAAACAAAATCACGAATTTATCTTTGATAAAAGCTACTAGGTGATCCACAGAATAAAATGTTTCTGTCTCTAGGTCAGAAGGTAACAATGATGAAGCAAGTTCCCTCATATTACAGGGTTGGAGTAGCTAAACCCTAATTTAAAGAGATCATTTTATCAACAGAGAGAACATTTTACTTTTCCTGGCCTACTGATATTTTTGGCCTCTTTAGCACCTAAAACAAGAAGTCTGGCTCATCAGGCTAAATACGGTATTGATTTCAGCAATATGGTAGTTGCTCATTAATGCTAGGAATCCTTGGTCACTCACTACTCACTTGAGAAGCATTTGAGCCAGCAAATTAAACATAGTAAATTTCATGATTATTTTTAGAATAATTTACACTTCTTTTTCCTCTACTGAATTTAATGAAGCTTTCCAAAGTCTCCCAAGAGATTAACTTCTCCCGATGGTCCCCAAATGAAGTAAATTTCAAATAAAAAAGAGTGCTAATAGCATTCCAGTTTTCAATAACACCTAACAAATTAACACACTTTACCCACCTACATCAGATGATTGGAAGAAGACATGCACATGCATGTGTGGACACAACTTAGCCGGAGTTAGGCTTGATTTCTCTGAGCTGTGCAAGCTTCATAGTTACAAATGGGGAGGGGGAGGGATTCGAGTTTCTCCTTCCATTCTCACTGCCAAACTAGTCTAGTCTGTTTCCAGGTAAAGAAAATACTTGTTAATTGTCTTGCAATTGGTTGAACAAAAGAACATCTAGTTCAACTAAGTTGTCATGCAAATGTACCACTCAAAGTCATGGTTGTTCATGTGGATCTCTGAGACAGATCTGTTTCCCTTTTACAGAAATGCTAATCTGTATGTCTGTGAATCTAAAATTTGAGAGGTCCCTCTTACTTACTAATGTTAGAATTCAGTAAGATTATATGATATGCTCAGGGTAATACACATAGACCACATGGCTTAGCCTTGACAGGTGACAGTAATAGAATGAGAACTAACATAGTATACTACCTTAGCATTTCTACTGTTAGACTCTTTCATAACCCAGGAGTGGAATGAACTTCTGATTGCAATTAGAGCAGAGAGTCATTGATATGACTGATTTTTTGGGTCAGAACAACATACATGTCTTTTTGGTATAAGTTTGTTTTCCCTTCTGTGTGAAGACACACACTTAGACCTAGCTGGAAACATTTAAAAGGGCTTTAAAAATTTAATAGTATCCCAAATATAAATGGCCTTCAAAGGTAAATAAAATGTACATATGCTTTGTACATTTTTAGTTGTACTGATACAAAGTTCACTGCCTCCATTTTCACCCTACCTTATGGAAATTCTTCTCTGGGAGGACACACATGACATTTTCTTGTGAACTATACTAGCTTTTACTTACTGCTTATTCTACTTGACCTTTTTGCTGCATTTGATACTGTGGACTCTCCCCAACCAATACCGCCTACCACCCCTCATAAATACCCAATACTTGATCTCCTTGACATTTTTGTCTTCCTTGCTAACCTTTCCACTAACCTGGTCTAGCTCACATCATCTCCTGCTCAGATGATCACACAGGCCCGATCCTAATCTCTCCCTCCTCTAATCTAGAATGTTGGAGACTAATCCTCCAGTTATCCATACCTTGAACCTGACCTTAAAATCCCTTCTTATCTACAAGGATTTACCCCTCCTGTTTCATATCCTTTGCTCTCCTCCTTGCTCTTTACACTCCAGGGGAACTTGTCTTTTTCAGTCTCTAACACACTCAGCTTGACCTGTCCTTAGGGCTCTGTACTAGTTTACTCTCTGCCTGAACCCCTCTTCTCCAGATCATCTCATAAGTGGGTGTTTCTTTCATTCAAGTCATTGTTTAAATGTTCTTCAAAAAGGCATAACTTACTCGCCAGATAATCATTTTGAAACCCTCACATTTTATTTTCTTCAGAGCAATTATTACTATTTGACAGTGTGCATTTATTTGTTACTATCTTTCCCAAATGGAATGTATGTGCCGTGAAGAGCAGGAGCTTCTTATTTTACTGCTTCACCTCCAGAACCTAGAATGGTGATTAAAGATTCATGAAAAACACTATAGATTATATTATTTCCATTCCACTCAAACCTATTCCTCATTACTTCTGTATAATCACACTTTACAGGTTGTTCGCACTGTCTATGGAATTTATTCTCTCTGGTTTCAGGTACATTGACCATTTTTCTCCAACTGGATTATAAACTTCTGGAAGGCAGAGGTCCTTTTCACACCTTTCCAGCCCTTCAGGCCTAGCAGAGTGCTGAATAGCATTTGGTATTATTTAACAAACACTTACTGGTTTATTTCCAACTGTAACATTATATATTGCACACAGAACACTTTTACATTAGTAGGGCTGTAAAGGAAATAAAAATAGGTCGGCCATGAAACATCAGCATGAAGGCCCATGACAGAGTGAGGACTTTCTTTCTTACCTTCTAATTCAGTTTGAGTAGCAAACTAAAGGTTTCTGGAATGAGGATGTGAGGAATAGGAGGGTATACCTTGGGAAAATTTCTTGCTTTCTTCTCTAGCAATTGATAGGCTGTATATTTTGAGTGCTGATCATCTTCCCAAGCTAAGGTACTCAGGTCTATGGATACTTTTACTGAATTTTGCTACAATCCTGAAGTTATCTTGGACTTCTTACTCTTCTTTGATCCCTATATACACTCACCAAAGTCATCTTTTTCCTTAGTGGCATTTATATGCAACATTTCTTTTAAATTCTGACTTACTACTTCAGAACTGAACCATGTTATGTTCTCCTGTCTTGTCTTCACCCCTCTCCACCTGCCAAATGCAACTGGAATGATCTCCTGTTAAGTTCAGATGTCTCGGGCTAAAATTCAAGCCCTATGTTAACGGTTCTACCTTTTTGCTTTAAGTTTAGTTTTCTATTGTTTCTAAAATAAACATTGTTTTGCCCTTGCCTGGTGGCTTAGTTGGTTGGAGTGTCGTCCCATACACCAAATGACTGCAAGTTTGATTTACAGTCAGGGCACATACCTAGGTTGTGGGTTTGATCTTCAGTCAGGGTATGTACAGGAGGCAACCAACTGATGTTTCTCTCTTTCCCCCTTCCTTGCTCTCTAAACTCAAAAAAACATATCCTTGGGTGAGAAATAAAAAAAAATAAAATAAGTAAAATAAACCTTATTTTAATTCATATGCCCTCTTTCCCATTCTTAGCTTACTCATGTTCTTCTGAGTGCCTTTGTTCAGGCAATTTCCTTTACCTTTTTTCCTATCAACCAATCCAAATTGAACACTTTTTTTTTTGCCCACTTAAGAAATCTTCCCTTAATTTACATGGATAATTTCCAGTTTAAGAAAAAATCCAGTTGGATTTTAGCATTGATTCCTTGGTTATTAATGGTGAATTATTTATCATTTTGTTACATATTTTTCTCCCCAGTAAGATTCCTGACAATAGGGACTTTGTACTTCTTAAAATCATGCACAGTTCTTGGCACCTCCCAGGATAAAGGTGTTGGGTTGGGACGTGGCTCCAGAGGCCTGGCAAAAATTGCCTGGATTACGAAGATGAACCCTGACCAGGTTAGATGGAGCTTGTACAACACAAATCCTGGAAAACAGTGGGACAAAATGGCCTCTGACAGTGAAACCTTCCTAGTTAAATGCCAAGTTCAATTTCATACATAATTCAGCCCATGTAGGCGAAACTGCAAGGTCAAAGATCTCCGATGTTGAATAACTTAACTGTATGTAACTGGTAAGTATAAGCTTGATGTTGGCAGGTATGTGAGATGAGATCTGAGCTTCAATCCTGGCTCTGTTTCCAATTAGTCTGGGTAATATTGAGCAAGCAATTTACCCTCTCTAGGCATTAGTTCTTCATCTGTAAAATGAAAAGATTAGACCCCAGTTGGTATTAAGGACTGGATAATTCAATTATAAAATTACATGATTCTGATTCCATATAAATGGAATGGGTGCCATAGCCTTGGCGTTTTTCATATACTTGTTCTGTGGGATAAGATTCACTAGTTTTGAGGGTAGTTAGAAACCCTTGCTTTCAGCTTTTGGTATTTACACTTTTCTTTTTCTCCATTTGTGTTAAAGCGGATGGACAGATGGTTTATTAGGTTTTCAAATGCTTGTAATGCTGTTGTTCAATTTACAAGGCTTTTAAACTTTGAAGGGCCACATAGAGCCCGGAGTTTGTTTAGAGTGGAAGATAGTTTTAACTCTTTAATTTAAGGATAATAATGTCTACTCACATAATTTAAAGCAACTTGTGAATATAACTCCAAAGGCCAAATCGGTTTTCTTCATTCGGGTATGTTAACTCATGTCCACACCATCCATACCACAGCCTAACTCTTCCAAGTTGCAGTTTTAAAAATTAAGTTACCAGACTTCCAGTTAAAACACATTTGCATGCTTGCTTTCTCCAGACTCATTTAATCCACAACCTCATTCCAGATACAAACTCCTCTAATTCAGAATCACAGAAGAGACAAATTCCTCACTTTGTATGTAAGAAAAGAGACCTAAAAGGTCCTGGTGCTCTTTCTACTGACTGAACTTTCTAAATAAAAGAGCTAAAGTGAGATTACGTTGCAGGGAAAAAAACACACAAAATTTGTGAAGTGTAAGCCCTGGTAGAAACATCCATTCCTTAAAATTCAAGTGTCAATTGAGAGAAAGCAAGATGGAACTATGTAAGTCAAAGATGGTCACCACTGCCATGGTCTGCTTTGTCATTTTTAATTACTTTGTGTGACTTCATCTAGGTGGGATCGTGAACATGCAATTCTCAAACACCCGAACTGGATCTTAAGTGTGTGGTTGAAGTCAGAACGAAAAGGACACGCAAAGTGTAGATAAAGCAAGAAATGAGCCTGTTAAGCCCCCCCCCGCCCCCCGCAGAGAGGGTCAGAGGGAGGCAAATTAGGACGAGTTGGCATGGCAAAGCAGGCGAAGAAGGGTACACTGCACAACCTGCTACACAGCAGGTTACAGGTTGTGGGGAAGGCGCCGCGGACATGCGGGCACCCCGAGGCTCCAGCAGGCCAGGGAGAGGAACCGGGATGCTGAGAGAAGGAACCGACAGGAAAACTGCACGAGGAAGCCCAGTCTAACCTAGTGTGCAGCGAAGAACTTCCAGAAGGAAAGAGAAGGCGCCAATGCGAGTTTACAACAAGCCTAGGGGGTTAGGGAATGCACTAGAGCTGAAGGGGCGGACGGGGGTAGGGTACAGACGACAGATGGGAAAAGGCGTGCGGGCCGGGGGAGGCGAAGCTGGGCCTTCAGAATGGGCAGGTGAGGAGAAGAGCGCCAGCCTTGAACCAAAAAGACGAACCTCGCGCGGGCGGGAGTAAAGGCTGGGTCAGGAACACAGCGCCCGCGGCGTCCGTCAAGCAGTGGGCGGTGCTTGAGGAGGTGGGAGGGCCTGGGGGCGGGGCCTGCGCCTGACGTGCCCCGCGGCCTCTGCGGCCGCGGGCCGGGAGGGGCGACGGCCGCGGCCGCGGGGGAGGGGCACGGCGTCAGTGCGTCGCCGGCGGGGCTGCGACGGTGGCCAGCAGGGTGAGTCGAAGAGGGGTAGGAGGAGGAGGTGGAGGAGGAGGAGGAGGAGGTGAGTGGGCTCCAGGCTGGGGAGCCGCGCGGGCCGGCTGCGGAGGCGGGGAGTGCGGCCCCTCCCCTCTCCGGCGCCCGCCTCGCGGGGCCGCGCGGCGCGGTGTTCCCAGAGGGACTGAGGCAGAGGCAGCGGCTCGGGGAGCCAAGGGGTAGGGGGGGCGGAGCTGAGGGCCGCGCGGGCGGCGCGCTTCCCGGGCGCACGCGCTGCGCTTCTGGAGCCGCGACCGGCTCTGCGCTTGGAGCGCGGCACGCTGTGCAGATAACCTGAACGCTGGCCATTTTCTGATTTCGTTTTCTTTGGTTTTGCTTGGCGTCTAGAGGTCCGGCACACCGTCGCTCTGGAGCCAACAGCAGGGGCGGGTGGGGCGCGTCACCCTAGCGCGGGGGAAAGCCGGTTCCCGGGTTTGCCGGAGTAGGCGGAAGGGCCTTTTCGCTAACCGCGACACTGCTGGGGCCAAAGGTCCTTCCCCACGCGATCCCCCAGGTCTTCCTTAAGGGCCTTTTTGCTCCTGGTCCCATTATCGTCCTTCCTTTTCTCAGCTCACCAGCTCCTTCCTCCCTCGTGTCAGCAGAGACTGAAGACCTCGCTCTGCTCTCCCAGAACCCCGACTTTGAGGAACCAGCGTGTACTTAACTTTGATCAGGATGCAGTCTGTTGGGCTGGGGAGGTTCTCTAAATTTGTCATGTCAATCCAGCCATGAACCCAAAATGTATCTTCATTTAAATTTTAGTCCAGAGGGCTTTAAAAAAAATCAACAAAATGCAACTTTTAGAGGCTTCTGAGAACTGTACTGCATTAGATTACCTTTGAGATAATTAAGTTAGCGCCTTGAGGAGGTTCAAAGAGGAGGCTTGACACTTTTTCCTCCACCTGTATCACAGTTTGAAATGGAAAACATGAGTTGGTGACTTTCCACACGAGGTGGGTTTCAGAATGCAGCCTCCCGTCTTGTGCCCTGGCGTGTCTTGGTTATTTGGTGTTACTTTTTAAGTGGATTTTAAAGTGCAACGTAGTGGGCAGGTAAAGGAGCTGGTGAAAAGAAGTCCAGTATAATTCAATAGAGCCATTTTATTGGATTCTATTAACCTGTTTAACCTTAAGCTAAAGCCTGGCAGGAGTTTCTTGTAGGAACCCACATACCAAGCGCAGTATTGCATTTTAATGAGTGCCTTCCAGGTCTGGAGTAGAATACATTTTCTTCAGCTCCCACTCCCTGTTATTTCATATTTGCCTTCGTGTTTTATATTTAAGGAATCAGTTTTAGAATTGAAGGTTGGAAGAGTACCTTCTTATTCATGAAACTTATTTGCCAAACTTGAAACTGAATTGGTAAAATCTGAACCATGATACAGAAATAAGGTAGGAAACTGAATTTTATTGCCTTACCAATTTGAGAAGATGGCCTCTTTTACTCACGTTTTGAAACTGCATTGACGTTTTAATCTGATGGACCATAGAAGTACAAAATTTTCTATTTGTAAGGAACTTTGGCAGTTTAATCCAACCCCATTATTTTACAGAGAGAATTAATCAGAGAAAGTTTTGTGAAGAGATTTAACAGGAGCTGAATAGAACTACTAGACTTAATTAACTAGATACTTAAGTAGATAATTCACACCTCCCCAATGGATATTCTTGTACAAAAATTTGTTTTGATTATGGTATCTTATAAAAAGCCAAGTAATTACTAAATTTTCATTTTTTCCCATTTTGAGTAATTGCTTTAATTTGTAATTTGGACCCATTAGAAGCAAATGATACAAATTAATTATAGTTAAGAAATGTTTACATTCTATCAATTGAAACAGTATTTTCCAGTTAGCTTGAATTTGGTAATTATTTTTATTTCAAGAATGTTTACTCATATTCTTGATTCTGACAGTCTGTGCCAATCCTAGGAGATTGGCATTTCAAGAGTGTTGTGGTATCCATACCCTTGACATTAATTAGGAATAAAGGTCCTGTACACATGTGGTAATTGAATTCCAGCAGCCCCAGCATCATCACTTAGTGGTCCTCAAATGCAGAAGTCCTGATGTCCTTGCTGGGGTCGGGTGAATTCTTTGCCTCTCCCATACCACAGTGTTTAGTGTAGGTATTTAGTAAATACTTGTTGGCTTGTGTACACTTTCCCTGGTGGCGGCTTCATGAAAGATGGACCTTGTCTTAATTGTGTACGCCTTGTATCAAGTGTAGTGGGTATTCTGTAAATGCTTGTGGTCTTGAGTTTAATCAAGCTTAAGACTGTATTAGAGTGGCCTGTAAGTTGTGGATCATTATATTGTAAACCTGAAATATTTCATTTCTGTTTTTGTGTTGAATTGGGTACTCTGTTAGGCTGAATTTTAGTACTGAAAGATACCAGGTATCAAATATATTAGAAAAAATGGGGAGGGGGAGGAATTTACCATTGAGAATTTTGTTTTTTTTAACATATATTATGCCCTATGAAATTCAGAAAGGACACCTTTACTTAAATCTTTTGATAGAACACCTCAGTCAAGCTAAAATAGTCTTTTCCACTGGAAGCAAAGTTTGACACCATGAATCGAATGACCCTAATTGTTACTATAGGGCCATTTTAATTAAAGCCTTGGTTTCACTTTATGGAGACATATGTTTCAGCATATAAACCTTTGTAATAAACATGACTTTGGGAATTCAGGCTACCTTGGTCAGCTGTCCTGAAATGATACTTTACAGTTTTAAGCTGTGTTCAATATGTTGTGTTTCATGTTGGTGATACTCTTTAAAAACAAAACACGGTGAACCCTCCGTATTTTTCTCTAAGCCTTATCTTTTCCTTCTTTAATAGAACAGAATAGCATGTTTTGTTTATTTTAACAAACTAAGGAAAACTGTCTACTATTTCTTTTGGAAAGTACCACCACTCCATGCTTTGAGAAGCCTTGGCAGATAATATTTGGGTAAATGCAGGGCCTATTCCATAGAGTAGTTCCTATTTGAATATGTAGTCATATAAGTAATATCCTTCACAGGAACATCATCTTTGGACTACATGCATTTTCCTTTCTACTGACACTATTGAAAACAATTGTATAGTAGAGTAGGATGGTGTTTAATTTATAGGGAGCAAATAATTCTATATCTGTCAATGTTCTGTTGATATATATCAGTCCTAGTCTACATGGCTTACCCATTGTCACTGTTGTCCTTTCCATCCAGTTCTTAAATTGATTTTTAAGACTGAACATTTATTAAGACTCCCATCTTTAGGAGGTAGGATCTGGAATTATTCTGGTGCCCTGAATGTTTATAGCTCACAGATAGATATGGTGTCTCACTGTATCCTTGGCATGTACTCTAAAATTCTCATTTTTAAAAGCACTGTATTCATTAGGAGTTTTGAACTATAGGTAATAAACATCTTAGTGAAGTGTGTGTAAAGCATCTAGAATATATCAACATAGGTTTAAATGGAATTAGGATATAGAATCAATTAGTAAGAAATAGTAAGAATATTTAGTCCTTTACTCCCACGTGTGAAGGTAACACTTAATTCATTTAAACACATGATACCTTTTTTTTTTGAGTACTTATTTTTAAAAGTAACCAGAGAAGCAATTCCACAGCCTTTCTTTAGTAAGTGTTAAATAGTCCATATAATTAATGTTTCTTGTGTGGTTCCTTTTTGTATTCCAGATCCCTTGTGGACCTGGAACTTTGTTAGAAGCCTAATTAAGAACGCTAACGGCTTGGCCTTCTTCCCTCTGGGAGCAGGGGCCAGTTCTTGTCCAGACTGGATATTGGTGTCCTACTTCAACTAGAGCCAGACTTGCAGAGCCGTGATATAGCAACTCTGCCTCCTGGACTCACACTCACTTGGATTGATTCCTTTGATACTGAGGATAGGCCAGCTGAGAGCTGGGTTCATGGCCCATTATCATTTGAGTCCTTTTAAAGGGTCGATTTCTCATTTGTGTCAGGCTCTCTAGAATAAATACCCTGGGTTTATCCAGTCATTCCTTTGACCCATTTCCTGACTACCTTGCTGTTGGGTTTTCTGTCTTGGCTGAGTCACTTAATGGGTGATTTTCATCCATTTTCAGTGGCAACTAATTGTTTTCAAGTGTTTGTTTTTCTACCCATGTCTTAGTTTTAAACTTTCAATTGACTAAATACCTGTTATATTCTCCCATAAAACATTTATTCATTATCTGCGTTTTCATCTAGACTGTGTGTACCCTGAGTGTTGGGACCAAATCTGTGCTGTTTGTGGCAGTGTCCTCAGTACTCAGCACATAGCAGATGATAAATAAATATTGATTTGATATAAATTCATCCTAACAGTAAAACTGTTATCAGTGTATGGGAAACCAACTTCATATAGAAATTTAGAATTCGTACAAGAAGTTTAGACATTTTATCATTAGTACTAGAGAGTCTTTGTGTTTTAAATTATAAGCATATCCTTAATAAATAGCTTTATCAGTCATCTGGCAGGGAATTTATTTAAGAAGAAAAGTTATATAGTTTTTACCATGTATTGTTAGGGGTTCCACATGTCAATTTTCTTGGTTTGATTGATATGTATATATTATTTTATATTTCTTATACATAGAAGTTTTATGGCACTATAAAGGAGCGAGTTTAATGGCCCTATTTTTGTTCATTAGTAATTATATACTAAAGAGTAAATTCTCATTGAAGGCCTGTAAATGCCTGCTCATAAAGAGGAGAGACCTCTTTGATTTTGTTCTCCATACAATCCCAATTATTGTATTTAGGCAAGTCATCAAACTCTTTTAGTAGTCTAAATCTTTAATTTGGTTTCAGAACAGTAGTCATGTACTGAATATCCAAATTACCATGTCTTTAACAAGTAATGCTAACACTCTGTATTAAAAAAGTAATGACCATAACTTTCCTTGTAGAATTTCTTGAGCTACTTTTTTAAAGAGGACTTTTGAATTAAATTTCCCATGAAGGCCAAAAATCTCATACTTTTAATGATAGTGCAGCATGTGGGTATGTGTAGAGGAGGGGGTGGTAATTTTTGTAGTGGTATTTTTAAGTGGACAGTTTACTAATTATGTTGAGGTAAACACTTTACAACTGTAAAAGGAAAACTTCAATTATCTGAATGAAATGAGATACATGAAATTAATTCAGATAAGTGGAATCCTTAGTGCAAACGATGCATGTCAAGGGACGTGACCTCAATCATGATTTTTTCTCTATATTTGTCAGCTGTTTTTACATTTCAAGATTGTGATTTTTTTTGTTTTTGTTTTTTTTTGGGTCATGCTAGGAATCACTGATGGAAGGAAGTAAAGTTTGCTTAATAGTTTTTTGTCCCTTTGCCACAGAGGGAATCCAGAATGTTGTATTGTATGACAAGTGTAATTGCTCATTTCTTGCTTGTTCTGCCTGCCCTTTTAGGTGGTATACCACAGCCTTCCATTTTGTCACCTTCCTGTCAAATGTCAGATGTGTGGGGGAACTCCTTGTGAACACTTCTTTTTTGAAATTAAAGCCATACTCCTTTGTCCAATTTCAAGATGTTCGTACTTCCAAAAAGTTGACTTACAACAAGTTATAAGGGCGAATGGAGTTGTATAAATTTTGATTTCTTCTCTGACTCACTTAGGGTTTAATATTAGGCAGTGTCTTGCAAAGTAGGTCCTTAAAATAGAAACAAATATTAGGACTTAATTTTAGACCTTTACAGATCTTAACTTGGAATGAAAATTTTATTGATTGATTAGAGTTCAGGAAAGTTTCAGGAAAGAGATTTCTGCTGCCATTTACTAAGATTTGTAGCATTCCAGGGCTCCTGGCATCTGAAGGCTATTGTTTAATTTGCAGATAGCCCTGTAGCTGTGATGACAAATTCCTTAGCTTATTTTCTTTTTAAAGGGAGGAAAGCTTATCTTAGTCCCAGATATGTGTGCTGACAC